TTTTATTATTTTTTAAAATATTTATGTATTTTTGAAAAGTCAAAATTTTATTGAATATGATCTCCTTGGGTTAAGTTAAAAATATTTCATTTCACATAAAAGATCAATAATAGATAAGAATTTTATAAAAATCGGTCACTAACTCTTTTTTACTCAAAAATTTGAGATCGGTGTCATGGGACATTTCCAAAATATTAAATATTAATCAAAAAGGTGAAAAGATTAAAATATTTTTTTTTGTTGGAATAAAATTAAAAAAATTAATTCATATACTGTTTTCATTCCAATAAAGGTATATCTCTATATTAAATAATTTCTTATTTGGAATTTGATATTATTTAATTAAAAATTACTTTGGAATTCTTTCTTTGTTAGAAATCTATTAAAAATAAGCGTGGTTTCATATTTTGAAATCAAATCTTAAAAAAATTAATTTGGCTTTGTAATATTAGCAATGAAAAATAATTTAGTCCCAATGACACATAATAATACTTAGATTGACCTTACATTCATTAAAAGTGTACATCAATGAAAATCAGCTGAGGGAAGCCATTATGACTCCATTTTGTTTACGCATAAAAAATTTAAATTTAATGTAAGCGAAGTAAAATATTATCCTGCCTCACAATTATAAGGCTATTCTCACAAGGAAATATGTATTTAGTGGATCGGATTCAAATAATTTTAATATACTGGATTCGATATAGGTTACCAAAATGGTGAGTCACGGGGTCTCCAGCTGATTTGCATTTAATGACACTTTAAAATGCATTATTAGAATGAATAATCAGTCCTGTATTATTATATGTCATACAATTGATTTTCAAATTTCATCATAGCAATATTTTCGTTTCATCACATCTCTCAATCATTATAAATTAAATCTAATTTTTATTTAAGGGAGGCAGGGGTAAAGCGATTGATGAGGTAACAATGTTAACGCGGATAACATCATAACCCTCACGCATAAAAACTTTAAATTTGATATTAAGATGTATTTTTTTTAATCTAATTTCTTACCTATATTAATTTTGAAAAGCTTTCCCAGTTTGACATATTTTTCCAAAAAACCGCTTTTTTACCCAAAAATCACTCTCTAGTTTTTTTTTTACTTTTGGCAAAATATATTAAGGCTCAGGTAAAAATTTTACATGTTCCTTAAAGCCATAGCTATAAAATTCATCAGAAGTTTGTAGCTTACTAGTAGTCACGTAACAAAGTATTACACAATATATATCACATTGGGGTATTCAATGGATAAAAGGGTTAAAATGTTCTATCGGATTTAAGCTTTAAAAAGTTAATTTTTAAATATTAACGTATACACCATATAAAGGATAGTGCAAAAAGGAACTTAAATAGTTTGTTTGTTATTTGTAATTAAATTTTATGTAGTCGCATAGGAGATTAATTGAATGGGCACATTCAAAATCTGTTTTTTATAATTTTTTACATTTCGGTATTGTATTGATTATATTATACTAAAAGTGATAAATAGATGTCAAAATTGCAATTTTTTGCAATTAATTATTTTCAATCTTACTTTAACTCACATTACCCGGATGCTTATCCATTTTACCTTGGGTATGGGGTAAAATGGCAAAAATGGCACACTTCCCATAATCAATCACAGCTCCTAAAGTATTATTGGTAGAGAGCGACACTCTTTTTTATTTTGTAGATGAATGTTTCAAAATATTATTGCAAGAATGCAAAACACCAATCGTTTTATCCCGGTCTCTCCTACTTTTGTAAATCAAAGTGATGAATTAGGCAAATCAAGCTTACTATATAAAGGAGGATAAGAATTAATTTAAGTCATTCTTAAATAGCAAAAACATACTTTATTTTGATTTTGTAAGTTTTAAATTTGATGACGCCAATCATTATTATTTTAGAATTAATTATAAGTTACAAAAATGATTGTGAATGTTAAAATATATAAAGTAAAAATGAGTTATGTTTTTACTTACAAAATTTAGGTACATAGAGGACTCCGCCTAAATCTATGCTTTTTGATATTAATTTTTTTTATTGTTTAGGACCCCAAAATCAGGATATTTAATTTAGGATAGGGGAAAATCTTTTTATTAATATATATATATATTGTATTTATATTTTATTATTTCAGATTTAGCAATGAAGACTAATTTAATAATATATCTCCTATTGATATGCATAGTAAACCATTATTATAAATATTATTTGTTGTAAAATATAATATATTCGTGCACCTATAAAATATAAAAGATTTACTTTTTTTAATATTCGAATCAGATTTTTATTATTTTTCTGTGCTAATACAGAAGTGCTAGAATTGATTCCGCCTATGTAGCATAACTATTTTTGATATTGTTTTTAGAGATCTGCAAAAGTGCGCCCGGCCCGAACGGGATTCGGACTGGGTCGGGCCTAATATTTTTAAGAAAACTCGGGCAGGGTCGGGCTTTAGAAATTTTTTCAAATATACAATTTATCAATTTTATGTTGAAATTTTTGTGTAAAATAAAAATATTTAATTTTATTTATAGAAACTAGACGGCATATAATATATATCGTTTATTTTTGAGTAATTATAAAAATTAATTTCTATATTTAAAAATTCGGGCCAGGCCGGCCGGTAAATTTTTTCAAAACAAAATTTCGGGTTCGGGCCAGGCCAGCAAAACTTTATAAAAAAAAATTTCGGGATCGGACCGGGCCGGACAAAACTTTTTAAAAAAAATTTCGGGCTGGGTTGGGCTTTAAAAATTAGGCCCGATGCAGGTCACTAATTGATTTACTCAAATATTATCCTAATTATTATGTTATCAACCAAAAATTATTATAAATAATAATAATAATAATTTACTATATTCTTTAAAATTTAATTTTAATAGGCATATGTAGCGTCAACTTGGATTTCAAGTCACGGACACAGGTTATATACTAATCATATTTAAAAAAAATTTGAATAATGAATGAGTTTAAAAAACAAAATTTTTAACCAAAAATTAAATTATGCCGTTATGTATATGTGAGTTCATCCTGGATCTCCTTTTTCGCAACATTTAAAGCGCTCGAAAATTTTACAATATTAAAGATAGGTAATAAATAGACAAAGCTTTTTAAAAGTTGATTTGAAAAATCAAATTCAGCTGAACGCTGAGTTCCTTGAATTTGTAAATTTTCAAGTAAAAATAAAATAACCCACCTAAATTTCAATTTTGTTTGAATAAAATTATTGTAAAGCAAGATATTATTTTGATACATTTATAAAATATGTAGAAATTTATGTCACAGAAACACAAATATGCTTTTTTAAATGACGAGGACTAGCTTTTTCCTTTTTACGCAACTTAAAGTGATTAATCCAGAAGGACCTCTTAATGAAGGGAAATGATTTTTTAAGCTAATATTTATATTTATAGTTTTATTAAAAGTAAATTTAATTTAAAACACAATTTATTATTGGTTCTTTAAAAATAATATTTATTTCTGGCTAACTCAAAACTTTTGTAAAGATTTATGATATAAAAATAGGGTTTTAAAATATATTCACATTTTTATAATAAATATTCTAATAAAAAAGTTCGGGTGGTCATCATGGAAAAAAACATGGGGATCATCATTACGGAGGCCATTCTCACGGTAAGCAAGGTCATTCCCACGCAAAACATTATCATGGGCACAAAAATCACGCATACAAAAAACATCATTATGAAAATGGATATGAACATGGCTACAAGGCTTTCGGAAAGAAGTGGGGATCCGGGCATCAGGAACATGGAGACTCGCATAAATCATACGAAGGTCACCACAAAGGACACTCCAAACATGGACATGGTTAACTAATTTTTTTATCTTTCGTTATCTGAGTCTGTCTCTTTGTTTCAAATTATTTTTTGACTGTTAGTTTAGTTGATCTATAATATTTCTTATCTTTTATTTATTTATTTTTAATTCATTCATAGAATATAAATAGATTTTAAGTTTTCTTTTCCTACAAATAAATTTATTTATACTTTCCTGCTATAAACATAATATATCATAAAGATTTTTTTTCTAATCCAAACTTATAGGAAAGCATTATGGTGGTCACAAAGGTTATGAAGGTGGGCATCATAAAAATCATCATCACGGATATCATCACCATAAAAGATCTGCCGATTTTATCACTAATTCATCTTTTAATTTAGATAACACTCTCAATTACACGATTAAAATGATTCAATTGCCAATAGTTGCAAATAACCTAAACATTTATGCTAAGCCAACGATCAGCCATCCAACTGTTCTAGTATTTTTAGAAAGAGAGATAGGCGTTGGATATGAGGACAATACTGGGAAAAAAATTATCCAGGAAACGACATTTTACGAGGAAGTTGAAGTAGATATGAAGGATCAAAATAAAGGAACCAATGCGTTTGATGAAGTGATTGGAAATGAATCCTACGGAAAATTTTCACCCAAGGATAACTCTTACTATATAAAAATTGAAGAAAATGGATCGTCGATGACTGAAGAAGAACAATCAAAATCAAATATAGAAAATAGCGAAGTTGAAAAGAGTAGTAAAGTGGTAGATGATAGAATAATCAATAGAAAATTTTTCAAACAAGATGATAAACAACAGATTGATGAATCCAAATATAGAATCAATAAATCAAAAATTTTGTCGATCAAAATAAAAGATGAGAAAACAAAAGAACCCAAAGAAAGAATAATTGAAAATGTGGGCTTAGCTACAGAATGGACAATAAAATCATAGTAGTTTATTTTAAAATGATTATATTATACTTAGTTTTATATCATTTTATTAATTTATGAGTTAATCTAGTTGTAAAATTGTTTTCTGATTATATTTTTTTATATGTATTATAACATTTTAAAAATATTATATTCAACAGACAAGTATGAATGAATACAAATTTGCTCTTATCTTTCGCATTATTTATTTTCTAAATATAATAATTAGTAATTTACTAGGTTTTAAAATATATAATTAGCTAAAGTTCCTGGCCTTTAAATGATAAAATAAATAATCAAACAGCGGTAAAAATATTTGGATACATATACATAATAAATTAAAATTTAAAATTAAGCTTTTGCTAATTTTTCAGGCATTCCTGAATCAGATTCCCCTTCAACTCCAACGTATTCACGTCCTTCGCCTTCATCATCGTCTTCATAATATCCATCGTCACTATCATCAACTGATTCCATGTCATCACCTTCCATGTCATTTTGAGCAGACATTATAGGCTCAGATAGAAATCGCTTAGAATCTGAATTTTTGCTCGAGGATATAAAGGAAGCTATTTTGAAATCTTTTGTCTCTAATGCTTCATTTTTAGCTGGTCCTGAATAATTTTCTTTTTCCAAAATGGTAGAATTATTATTATTGTTTATCTGATTTTTGTTAAAATTTTTATTGAGTAAAAGTTGGTACAAAGATATTTCTTTCATCAATATTCTTCCATCCTTATTTATATATGGTCCAGGATATTGTCTGTTGAGGAATAACATTTGAGGTTCATCGCCATACAACATGGATTTGTTAATACGGGAAATAATTTGGTCTTGACTTGATATTGTGTAAGTATTATCGGGTAAAGAACGTTTATGCTCACTATGTTTATCCCAGTGAGAATCATGTCCACTATGATGCCCATCATGATGCCCATGATGACCACCATGTTTTTGTCCTAAATATTAATTATATAAAGTAAAGTCGGATTTGTATATCACTTTAAAAAAAATATTTAAAAGTTTAAATATATATTAATAAACTTTAAGTTAGAAAATAAAAAATTATTCTGCCAATAAAAAATAAGTTCAGTATATTGACATATACGATTAATACCCCAATGTTTATCTCCATGATCTTTGTGATGTCCACCATAGTGCTTGTTGGCATGACCATAGTCTTTGTTTCCATGCCCAAATTGAGATCCGTAGGCGTGATATCCATGTTTATAACCTTTCTTGAAATTCCAATTTTTCCAACCATGGTCTTTATGGCCATGATGATGCTGACCATGAGAATGCCCATGATGTCCTTTATCGTAAGCTGAATGATGATTATTACCATGATGCTTGCCGTGCTTGCTACCCCATTTTCCTCCATGACTATAGGATTAAAGTATTGTAAGTTAATTTATTTGAGTATATACAAATTTTAAATATTTTACAAAATCGAGTCTTATTTCACAATTGAACTATATTATTATTTAGCATAATATGAGATCATTTAACTATTAAAATGATATATGTCTGTTTTATAATAACGATTTACTGTTTATAGGAACTGGATGGTTTCTTGTATCCATATCCGTCCATCATTGCAAAGTGCTTTAATTTAAAAAAATAGAAGGTTTATTCATGTGAAAAATATATAATAAGATAAATTGTTAAAGATTTACATAGGACTTACTATGCACATGTATATGACAGACAAGAGTAACAGAAACTTCCATGGTATAGTACTGAACGAAAATTTTGGGATGCCTGTATTTTTTATAGGATATTCATTAAAATTTAAAAATAATTTTTTTAAATTTTACTCATCTTTCCCAATTAATTTTTCCAAAATAACATTTGATTAATTTTAATGATATATATATACAATTAATATAAAAAATGACCTACTTATTTTATCCAACAATTTTGGGTGGTAAATTTTTTGATTTAGCCAATACGAAGAATATTAAAATATTAAATTTAATATGATCCATGTTCAAGGCGGGGGGAAAAGTCCTTGCTTTTCTCAATGGCCCGAGATATTTTTAAAAACCTTTTCCATTAATAAATTCCTCATAATATTTATATACATCTTTACCGATATGAAATCAATGTTTTAAATTTTTTAAATACTTTTTTTTACCTTGAAAATAAACTAATTTATATTGCATTAACAAAATTTTGAATAAAAAAATGTTTTGTTTCATTTTTGATAAAAGGAGATAATGAATTTTTATTTTAAAAAATCTATTTATTTTTCGTTGTATATGAGATAAAGATTTGTCCTATATTCCAAAGACGTGTGATGTGTTTAAAAAAGAATAAAAAAATTATATTTTTAAATATGAGTCTTGATGGGCCTTATTATTAAAACCCATAGGCAAATTTTTAAAGAGATTAAATTTTTATTTTCTTCTCTTTTAAAAATAAATTATTTCTATTATTATTTTATAAAAAAAATTATATCAATTATAAAATCTGAGAGTATTCATTAAAAAATGATGTTTCCACATAGGCTTCTTTTAAAAATCCATTTATTTAGGTTAACAATAAGATTTTGAATCTAAGATTAACTTTCATTTTTAATTTGACATTTTGCAAAAATAAATTTTCCCTTTTTTATGGTTCGATAGTTATATTTAATAACTATATTCCAATCCTAAACGATAATATAATTAAAATAAAAAATCTCCTTCTATAAAGATGGAATTGGGACTGCAAGTTCCCAAAAAACACGGATAATTATGTTTTAAAAAATTAATTTGAAAATTGTGTTTTTATTAAGAATTAAAAAAAATGAATAAAAATCAATTAATGTTTCATCAAACTGTTTGGAATTCCATATAGCCTTGAAATCTGTAGGTAATTAATCTAGAAAGCTATAAATATACAAATTTGTAGGATGTTTTCTACCGTTTTGATATAATATTTAAAATCAATGGCTTGTGTTAAAAATTGAGGTGGTCATTGTTCTATTTCTCTTCAATAGTTTGCAGAATGCCTATGCATATAGAGGATGAATAATATGACATGGTCCACATTTCACCAATGAACTATAAAAAATGATATCATAATCAAATTCAATTTCTAAAGTATTAAAAATGTTTTTAGAATAGGATATGATAGACAAAGAATAATCATTAAATAATATTCATCCATTGGAAAAATAAAATAAATATATATATTTTAAACTCAAGATTAGACTATAGAAATCAGTTTGTACTATTATCGAAGTAGACAATTGTTTTTAAAAGGACTACCAGGAAACGTTATACATTTTGTTTAAAGCATGTGACAAATTGCAAAATCATTATTTCAATATTAATCATATGTTTACATATTTAAGATTTTCATATAGCATATTATTCGATGAGTCCATTATATTCAATAGATGCTTTTCTTTGGAAATTTTGTGAACCCAGGCAATTCAAATTCTGTTTGATCATTAATTAGATTTTAAATAAATGCAGGGGTAAGAACGATTTTTTCTTCAGGAAGTATTCATTAAATTAGAAGCCCGCTATGTGGCAAGAAATTAAAAATTATATAGTTTTAATAGAATTATAAATATTTATCTATTTTTTGATGGAATAAATCAGATGTATTTTGCCTATTGATGGAATTTCTAGCGGGATTTTAACTATTTAGAATACATTTGTGTTTTTTTCTACGAGATAGAATGTTATTTATGGGTGTATATTCACAATCGCAATTATTTTTTAAAAAATAGTTAATAGTATAATAATGATCGGAAAAATTGTTTATATTAACACAGAGTAAAGAATTAGGAGAACGAAGCCCTGAAAATATGGAGCGATAAGACTGATCAGCCTAACGAATCTCTTTTTTTTATGAAAAAGGTTTGCTACCACAATTATTTGCTCTTACCTAATTTTCACCTCTTTCATCAAATAATCTCCCATGCCTCAGTCCATCTTCTCTCCCCTAGAGTCTCCTTGCTATTTCTCTCGATTATAATTTATTTCAATTTTTGGTTAAAAAAATAATATATATTCATCCTTTATGGTAATACAGTATGTTAGATACATCTACTCAAATGGAAAAATAATTGCATGGAAAAATAAAATAATATACAATTTATTACATTCCAGTATTTTTAAACGCTAATTCCAAACGCAAGGCACTTCTGATTCGACCAAATTTAAAAAATGTTGCGTGCTGATGGCTATTATATTTGAAAAGAATTTTCTCCTTTTTTTAAAATGTAAAATACTTGAAAATTTTAAATTACAATATTAGATATTGATTGATTATGAAGAGCGAATTGTATAATAGAATAGGAAAGAATAAATATATTTAATATCTACTAGCTATGTTTTCACAAAATCGGGAATTACAAATAGTTGTGAATTAAAAATGGCAGTGAAATACAACCAGTGAGGAATCGCATATTGCGATAGATAACAAATAATAATAACTGATGGCAGCAAAATAATATTGCGATAGATAACAAATAGTATAATAACTGATGGCAGCAGAATACAAAAAGCTATGAAACAAAAATGGTGGTGAGTTATAAATGACGATGAAGCACAATTGATTGTGAATATCAAAGGATGAGAAAACCACAAAAAGTGGCTAATCACCAATAGTAATGAAAAAAATAATATCATATTTTTAAATTTAAAAACAAACGCAAACAGTTTAATAGGAAATGCGTTATTAAATATAAAACTCAATGAAAATAAAGTAGAAAAAAGTTGCTTTGCAGCAACCTTTCCAAAAAAATTGGTCATTCAACGTTCATTGACAAAAGAACGCGTTTACATACCTTCATCTCAAAAAAAAACCGCGTTGGCGTTCGTTCAAATAATAAAAAATTAATAAAATTTTATTTAATATTTAATTTAATATAAATAATGCCTTATATTTTTTTAACACATTATATTAGCCATATTTAATATTAATAGTTTTATTTGATACATATAAATGCTATATAATATAAATAAGGAATAAAAAAATATTTTCATTTATAAAAATTTAATTATTTATAAAATATTTATTTAAACATACTTTAAATTGTGTTCAACAATTAAAATATAAAATCAGGGTGTTTATTTGACCGGTCAAATGCAATTCGGTCAAATGACAATTTGATCGATCAAATTTGGTCAAATTTAAATAAATGTTTTTTGTCAATATTAACTTTATTTTTGCATATAATAGTTAAATGAATCTATAATATTAATTTTATAATAATTTTAATATTCATTGTCATTTAATAACTAATGTTCCGCTCTCGTAGCAGAGTCTTGTTCTGATTCATAATCAATATCATCACATTCTTTTAATATTTTTTAATCAATTTTCTGTTGTAGAAATCTTCAATCGATTTCAGTTTTAGTAAGTATACCCCAAATCGAAATTTCTTGAAGAGAATCATGATAAACGTGCGAGTAAGTAAAAATATATTTTATTATTATTATATATTTTTTCTCTTTTTACACATACTATATATATGTCGTAATTTTTAAAGGGATCATGACTATCCGCGATCTTCACGGGATTTAAAGGGATAACTAAAAAATTAGGGTTTTAAATTAAGGAATGATAATACGAGATTATCACGTTTTAATCGTGATAAAGAGGAATCTTATTTTAAAAGCGTTTTCCACGAGTTTCGTTGCGTTTTTTAATTTTTAATTTTGTTTTTTTTGGCCTTATGATATAAGATATGCCTACGTCTAGTATAGGGTATCAATCGATAGCTAATCAAAATATCTATTCAACTGTAGGTCAATCTCTGTTCCATTATGGGCGGCCTAGAGGGAGTAGGGGTGTTGGGGGGGGGGTGTAAAAAATAATTTTTTTTGATATGGGTATCAATAGATAGCTAATCAAAAGATCTATTCAACTGGAGATCAATCTCTGCCCCATAATGGTCGGTCTAAGGGGGTAGGGGTGGAAGGGGGGGGTGTAAAAAATAATTTTTTTTGATATGGGTATCAATCGATAGCTAATCAAAAGATCTATTCAACTGGAGGTCAATCTCTGCCCCATAATGAGCGGTCTAGGGGGTGGGGGGGGGTGTAAAAAATAATTTTTTTGATATGGGTATTAAATAAAAGCTAATTTTAATATGGTTTGACTGAAAGTCTTTATTCTTGGTCTTGATGTGTATGACTTGGTCTGGGGGGGGGTGGTGGGGGGTATAAAAAATAATTTTTCTTGATATGGGTATCAATCAATAGCTAATCAAAAGATGTATTCAACTGAAGGCCAATCTCTGCCCCATAATGGGCAGTCTGAGTGAGGGAGGAGGGGGGGTTGGGAGTGAGGGATGTAAAAAATAATTTTTTTGATATGGGTATCAAATAAAAGCTAATTTTGATATGGTTTGACTAGTCTTCATTCTTGGTCTTGATGGGTATGACTTGGTCTCAGGGGTGGGGGTAGGGGGGGTGTAAAAAATATTTTTTTTTGATACTGGTATCAAATAAAAGCTAATTTTAATATGGTTTGATTGAAAGTCTTTATTCTTGGTCTTGATGGGTATGACTTGGTCTCAGGGGTGAAGGTGGGGGGGGGAGTATAAAAAATTTTTTTTTTGATATGGGTATCAAATAAATGCTAATTTTAATATGGGTTGAATGAAAGTCTTCATTCTTGGTCTTGATGGGTATGACTTGGTCTGGGGGGATATATTTTAAATTAATTATCGAAATCAATAAAATATGTTGTTGATTATATTGCTTGAAAAAAAATATTATAATATAGATGATTTGCTTATAAAGAAGTGCAATAATTTATAACTGCAATAAGAAAAATTTATAATGTCATTTATAAATTTGTGAATTGATAGTTTCAAATATAGCCGAAATTTTGAGATTTAAAAATATTACAAACTAGATTAAGTTGCTAGCAAATAATTTTATCATTAGGCTACAATGAGTTTATAAATAGCAATGACTATATTTAACCCCAGCTTATAATTGTATTTAATAATGAAGTCTAAATGTATTTAACTTTTATTTAATACCCATGTTTATGTTCTGCGTGAATAATAATATTCATTATATCTTAGGATGCCCGCTTAGCCTGATAAAATTAATATAATCAAAAGCTATTTATTAGATACCCATAAAAATTTACTATCTTATGGCGAGTTGAAATATAGTATGTTTAGACTAGGCCAGAAAATCAACTTTCACCTAAACTCATCTAACTCAAAAACTATTATAGATGCTTTAATTTTTTTTAAAGATTAAGAATTGAGCTATACATTGATATTAATTTTTGGTTGATATATTACCTTTAAATGTTTTCTCAAGTTGGAGCAACTAGTTTTGTTTCATGATAAAACCTCGGCCACATCTTAGAGCAAAATTTATATATTGTGTTAATTTTTTTTATCGAGATTAAAATAATTTGTGAATTAAGGAAAAGGAAATTCCATTTCATCATCATTTTCAAAGGATATTCCTTTGTCGATATGATCTGTACCAAAATTATTTTCATTATCATTCTATACATTTAAAAAATTTTATTTTTTTGAAAAATATATTTTGCATATTTTTAACAGGCGCGTACGCAGGAATTTGGTCTGGGGGGGGGATAATAAATTTTTTTATGAAATAATATTTTTAATTAAAAATACTAAGCATAAATTTATTAGGATTAATAACTTTTCTAATACACAATTTTAAACTAATGTGAATTAAAAAAATTATATATATAAACCGGCATTTAAATGTGAATCATAAAATATAAAGTGAATATAACACGATATGAATCACCTAAATGACCCAAAATTGAAATTTGAATTTTTTGAGCTTTTAAAATATATAAAGTATAAAAAATTTAAATGTTGTAAATATAAATTAATACACA